TTAGGTTCTTGTCCTTGATGGACCATAGATAATAGCCATACAATGTCTTTTAATCTATAGTAGATGACCAGCCATATCAAGCAGATCCATGTCTTTCTCCTCCGAAAATTACACAAACTCAAGAGACAAAGATACACTCATCGATGTAGCAGGTGAACAAGAAAGCACTACCCAACACTGCAGCAGTTGCCCAAATGGGTACACGCAAACAGGCGACGTAAACCCAGGTAGACACAAAGACAAGGCAGACGGAACAGTAGAGTAAGGACAAAGAATACCTGCATCAACATGGATCCTGAAACAAAGGACACCAGGCACAAGTGGAGCCGAAGGTGGCAGAGTGGATACAGCTGGGAACATGGTAGTTGAGGCACACCAGATATATGCAACCAGCCAAAATAAAAAAGCAGGTTCTACAGCTGACAGAAGAGGTGCAAAAGGCACAAGAACATGAGGAGATGCCACACCAGGCAGAGGTAGATGTGCACCAGTCAAAGGTGCTAGCAGCTGAGGAAGTGCACAGTAGCAGGTAGAGGAGTATAATATGCAGGTGACAGTACAAACACCACATCAGGTTCAAGTAGAGAAACTAGCACATCAAGCACCACTGTGTGGGTGACAAAAAGCACCAGAATAAGCACAGGTGGCAGTAGAGGCACCCCAAACGTAGACAAAACTGCTGTACCTAATGCAACTGCAAGAGGTGGGAGACTTGTCTCAAACAAACACTGCAAATACGGATCCAGCAGAAAGTACAGGACTGGAACCTCAGCAACCGCAGATGATACAACCAGGGAACCAGGTGGCATAGCAGGAGCCTTATAGACGCTCAGTAGTCTGAGAAATCCAGGGAAGGTTGGTTGGTTGGTTGGTTGGTTGGTTGGTTTGTTTGTTGTTTTATGCCACACTCAGCAATATTCCAGTTATATGACAACGGTCTGAAATAATCAAGTCTGGACCAGACAATCCAGTGATTGATATCATGAGCATCGATCCTCGCAATGTGGGATCAATGACATACATCAACCAAGTCAGCGCGCCTGACCACCCGATCCTGTTAGTCGCCTTTTACGACAAGCATAGTCGCCTTTTACGGCAAGCATGAGTTGCTGAAGACCTATTCTACCCTGGATCTTAACGGGACTCCCGGGAAGGAGGCCATAGCACCCAATGCTTTCGCTACATGTCACCTGCAAAACAAATGCAAATGACAGACAGATGGAGATGTGCCACAGTGCTGCAGGTTCCTCTGCTTAAACTGCTTGATGATCCGACTCTGGAAAATTGTGAGATGGTTAAAACATGGTACTGTCCATGACAGTCTGGGCAATTAGTACAGAGGATGGCTCTGGACTTCCTCAGACGGCAAGTGCAGGGAGGGAAGAACATTGTTGCTACCAAATCATCCAGTCCAAACACCTCTTTTGGTTGGTTGGTTGGTTGGTTGGTTGGTTTGTTGTTTAACGCCGCACTCAGCAATATTCCAGCTATATGAAGGCGGTCTGTAAATAATCGAGTCTGGACCAGATAATCCAGCTTTTGGACAAGCAAAGGCAACATAGTTACATGAAACACAGACTGCACAGCTGTGTGAAGGCAGATAAACATGAAAACCCTACAAAGCAACAAACATTGTATAAGTGCAAACAACATTTTTGCCAAATCCAAAGGCACTAAAATCGAACAATAGCAATTTACAAAAGTGCCAATAATACCACAGATAGATTCCACTTGGGGAAGATATGAGGTGTGTGAACATCTTCTTGTAGGAAGGATCTCATTAGTCTGTGTAGAATGGGATGGTTTCTGATTGATAATCCATCATGTCCATCAAGTACAGAGTGAAGAGCCAATCTATAACCTCGTCCCATGTCGGAATTTATTGTCCTGACGTAGATGCAGTAGAAAATCCGCTACCATAGGGATAGCAAGCCTGCCGGCTTTTCCCTACCGTGATACAACACTGTACGGACACTGCACGGACTCCACTGCTACCTTACCTTACAGCCAGCCAACTGTTAGAACACCATATGGTTACAGCACGGACTCCATGCTGACCGTCCAGCCAAATGGCCTACCGTATGATCTCCATCAACCAATGGCTCCCAAGCCAGCCGCACTGACCACAGGGGATCGTCCAACCAACCCTTCAGCTGAATAAGAAAATATTTACCGTACAGGCCCCGTTACATCCAGCAGCGTATGAGAGAAGGCTATACTTGCTTCTTTAGTAGCTTCCTGACGGAATCTTCCTGATCTGCTGCAGCTAGCTTGGCTCTGACAAGATGAAATCTGCATCCGACGGCTTGAGATTTCAGGATGGGATGTTTCTTGAAGTGCAGTTTGTATCCGTGAGCCACAACGTCTAAAATCAAGCAGTCGGGCGTAACTTGCTTCCAATTTTCGGCGCATGACAGAAGCGCCCTCCAACTGGTCCCAGAGTTGAAAGACAATAAGCGTAAATTGCAGACCATAGACATAACCAGGTCGAAAGGGTCTATAACATCGGAGAGGGTGGCAGGGAAGTCAAAATCTGCGTTCGCCTCTGCCTCCCTCCTCTGGATCCTCGTTTTTTGTAGTCTGGCTGAAAAAGATTCCTGAGAAGATTAGCACTTTTCGTACCCCCGACTTGGTTGGAATGAATCCTTCCCGGAGGTCACAAACTTCTTCTTAGGTGGCCGTGTGCGCTGTAGTGACAGATGGCAGTCCCCGATGTGGTCTCTTGACCGGGAGACTTTTCTTCGCCGGAGCTATCTGATTTGCACTCTTCATATTCTCCAATTCTTTGTCTAGGGCTGAGAGTCGAGCCTCAAACATTGTCTTCATCATCTCCTGCTGTTGGCTAAAAACTTGTTGAATTAGACTCATGGAGAGGGCAGGAGATGATTGTTCAGTTGGTTGGTTGGTTTGTTTGTTGTTTAACGCCGCAATATTCCAGCTATATGACGGCGGTTGATGATTGTTCAGCTGGAGTGGGAGGAGCTGGGAAGCAGGTGTCCCGGCTGTGACGACCTCCCCCTTCTTCATGCCCGCTTCGCGCATCTCAGCCTCAGTAATAGCCTCGGCTAATTTGATGAAGGCTTCTTAGAAGTGTTGGTGCACTGCTCACATCTCATCTACATGCAAGTCGTCTCTCTGCACTTCGTGCGGTTAACATGAGGATCTCCCATGATCATGAATCGACCACACTTCTTGCACCCGGGAGTAGAGGGAGACTCCATTACAACCTCACAAACGTTTAGCACCAGTTAATACACACGTGCGTGCGATTGTCACTCCAGAAGCGGCTATTATTATCTGTGTTATAGAAAACTATTAGAATAATCTTAGATTAATGTGACTTACTACCAAGTGCTTGATCGTCACTACCATTACAATAGGTGTTGAAGCACACAAGGTAAAAAGTGAAGTTGCTGCCATTGCATACGTCATAGCTTGGGTGGTTACGATGCTACTTGGGAACAAATAATTGTGTGTGATTGACAGTGAAGAAGACGTCTTTTGATAATCTGAAAATTTTTAGTTAGTGTGACTGAAGCCAAAATACATGATTTATGGCAGAGATGTAATTAAATAGAGGTAGAGATTTCGTAAGAATTAGTGGAATAATAACAACCAGCCATCCAAAATGGTGTGGTGGATTGAAGCAAGAGCAAGTAATTTTGTATTGGTGACAGCAGTCCAGTGTGCTTTCATGTGAGTTCCACTCTGTGTTAGAGATATCCAAGATTAGACTGAAATTGCACAGAGTTGTACACATGTAACATTGTAATCTAGGCTTTGATATGCACTGGCTTCTAATGTTATCAAGCTGGCAATCAGTATTTTGTAACTCATCCATAAGAAAAACACACAAGCTTTCTCTTCAATTTGCCACTAATAACAAACATGACTGAAGTTTATTCTGTGCAGCACTTGTTTTGTCGGCTTCGCTGTGTGGAGACCTATTGTAATCGGGCATGAACTAAAAGTGTGACTTCAGACTCAGAAATTATTTAATGCATGTTTCACAAACACTGTCCCTTTTACTGTCCCTTTAAGTACATTGACCAAAATCTGAACCAATTTAGAATAATACCTTAATATTGCAAATATGAGGCTTGCATAATTATTGAAACTAAAACCTGAATACAAGTACCTTGCCAAACTTAAGGATGGCATGCACCAATTAATAGATTTAAGCTACTGTTATAGTAAGAAAATTCACAAGATAAATTAATAACAATAGGGTCAACTCATTGTAACAATGAACATATGTCATACACAACGCATGTAAGGTTGTGAGGTCACAGTGAACTTCTACTGTTGTGACAAGTTTGTCACCACATGTCATACATCACATATATCAATCATTATGGGTATGGCCTTGAAGATAACTTTGACCCTGGACATGACCCAGGTTCATTGTGTCAGAAACATCATTAGATATACTTGAATGATAATATGCATGCAGACATAAGTATCTTAGACATTAGATATACTTGAATGATAATATGCATGCAGACATGTGTCTTAGACATTAGATATACTTGAATGATAATATGCATGCAGACATAAGTATCTTAGACATTAGATATACTTGAATGATAATATGCATGCAGACATAAGTGTCTTAGTCATTAGATATACTTGAATGATAATATGCATGCAGACATACGTATCTTAGACATTAGATATACTTGAATGATAATATGCATGCAGACATAAGTATCTTAGGCATTAGATATACTTGAATGATATATGCATGCAGACATAAGTATCTTAGACATTGATATCTATCAACATGACATCAGTGTCTTATGTAATATATGTCCAAAAGATGCAAGGTTGTGTGGGACATATGAAAATAGAGAAGGGGTAGTGCTTAACTTATAGCCAGTTACATACATCAATGTGCAGGAATTCCTTCATCTGATAATGGGACTAGAAGTAGCTCTGAAATGTTAACCATAAATAGTTTCAAATGTTTATGTTCTGCAAACTCCAAATATGAAATCAAAGACATTACACATTTTATTTGCATCCAAAACATCAAACAATACTGTGAATAATTACTCCGTCTATTACATTATAGCCAAAAATCCTGTATTTTGGTGTCATCACACTATAAAATCTTAAGATTTTCAACAGATGTTCTCTTCACTGTCAACTAACCTCAAACTTGTTAGGCAAAGCATCTCTCCGTGACCCAGTTCTTCTGCGCAGCTGGGAAATCGTGACTTCTTTCCAATAACCAACATCAATCTAAATGCCGATATTTTGGGGAGGTGGGCGGGACTACTCCTGATGTAATGGAGGTAGTATTCTTAGAATTATTCACAATAATAACTATTGTTAAAATATATTCCTTCGAATACCCTACCTCTATTACATGTTAGCCAGTATACACAAGAGGGATCGGTAGAGCTATCCTAGATAGCAGTGAGATATCAACACTTATTACCCACGTGGTGAAGATACAGGTGGTAAGATACTAAATCCCTACGTCACATGTGTGTCGTACAAGGTTGACCTTGTGTTATTCATTTTGATTGGATAACCGTGTCCTCTGTCATACCGGGACTACTTTATTCATTCACAAAAAATCGTGAGACATCATTCATTTTGCAACAACAAGGCAGAAATGAAGCAATCTCATGAGAGCGAGAGGTATTTACAAACACTTTATAAAACCCAACAAGATAGTCACATGCATCAAATTTGGTTTACATTCCATATAAGTTATGCATAGAGCTTCTACAGACATTATAAAATCGATCTATATCCATTTACATTGTACATGATACGACTACCAATCAATAGATCGGGAGTCCTCATGAGCGAGACGCGCCCGACCACTTTCATTTTGATTTAACATAAAAGGATAAGCATGGTGATATGAAGTCAGTTCAAACCATCTGGACAGATATCTAGACCTACGTTTGATGCTACAGTTGTGCCATCTGTCCCATTCAGAGCGTATTTTGTGGCACTGTTTCGGGCGTTGTTTGTTTACGACTACACGACCAGATCACTCAAACTGAACATTTCCGATACAAATCATTTTAAAATTCCACAGAAGTGTGACTGATTTCTCATAATGTGGCCCAAAATATCCCAAATGTGAATGATAACATTCCCTATCACTAGTGTAAAACGCTGTGAGTAGATCACTGTTGTCTTTTCTTATTCCCGTGGTGACTTTGCCCTTCGCTCGATGCTGTCACTGACATGCAAGCAGACTTGAGTTAGTTGATTTTTCACGTCTTCAGTGTAGGGTGGTAAGGTTAACATGAATGTCTTTGGCGAACACTCTCATTTCCCTCTTCCAAAATGGAAGGGACATAATATATATTTAGCTGATAGATCAAGGAAACCGAACCATTTTGAATGCACAGACGGCACCCCTGCAGTTCGAGTGATTGAATGTTGGTCCAATATTCAAAGCGCAACGCTAATGGTACTTTTCAAATTTTCTTATAGGTGTCCTGCGTACTAACAACATGGCGCTTGAATTACCATAAGTTGAAGAAATTCTTCCAAAAGGATCTTGAGCATCAGTGCTGTTATATTTGCCAACACAACTGCAGGTGCATGTTGTTAATGCGTATACATAGAAATGTCAACAATGCCCATATATGAGCATATATCAATATTCATGCGCAACCAGATTTTGCAACCGGTTTCAGTCTGTATCAGTTTCAGTCAACGAATGAAAATTGTTATGTATTTACACTTAAATATATATTTAACACGGGTAATAAATAAAATACCACACTCATTCTCGTTAGATACCCTTTTTATGAAACTTGTGAACTTTCAGTGGTATCTGACCTCACTTTAGCTTGGTTAGATACCATAGAAAGTCTCCTTGTTTCGTAAAAATGGTATCTAATGAGAATGAGTGTAGTATTCTCTATATAGAAACATTGGGAAAATGCACAATATCTGATACTTCCACTGACAATACTGTTTTAATGCCACTTCTATTACGTCACCTCTCCTGATATGACATCTCTTCTGGGTCAAATGACATCACCTCCATTTCTGTGGATGATCTCCTCAGGTTCCTATGATGTCACTTCTGGTTTCCTGACATCACTTCCTTTTTATGATGTCACTTCCGGTTAAGTTGCAGTCACATCTGGCCATGACAACGCTTAGTACTGCCATCACTTCTAATGGACCGTAGATCACCTCCAGGGCTTCTAATGTGAGTCCTGCTGTTAACCTATGATCTGTCCCACTACAAGCTGACAAATGATCAAAAGGCTAACCTACCAGCCAAGCTTGTAGTTGCTGGATTCTCCGGCACGCCCAAAACCCAAACACTCCACCCCACCCGCTACTTTTTTCTCAGAAAGAAAGGTGATCTGAGCTACTATCAAACTGTCACCTGAGCAGCCACAAAAGGCCACAGGGAATATAGCCCTTCAAGATCTGGTTGAATATCATGCAAGTAAAGATTTGTGAATGGCTTGTTCAACTGAGACCAATTTTCACAACAGTAAATTGGTTGATGAGGCTCTTATCTCTTATCTCAGTTACCAAAGACTGGCATGGAGAGCTGTGCATGGCGGTAGCTGTCAGATATAGTGGTCTTCAGTCATCCTAAATATTGTGGGCATCATGAAGGCCTTCTGTCTGAATACATTTTGCAGGAGATGAAAAGTCCATGTGTCATCCCACAACTTACTGCACATCATTTGAATCAGAGGCGTCAGAAATGTAGGGTACGTCAGTACTGGATAATCAATGTTGGGTTTATGTCATATATTCTGACAAATCAAGGTTCCATGACCAAAGGAATTTAGTTTAGAGACGACCAAATGAGCATTTTATGGACGTTAACATTATACAGCATTATGGTTTTGGGGGCGGGTCCATTATGGTGTGGGGTGGTATCACAATGACTTTCAAGATCATAATGCACATGCTCATTGTGTCAGGATTGTGACCCAGTTCTTCCTACAGCAAAACATAAAGGTTATTCCATGGCCAGCACTCAGTCCTGACCTTTCTCCATTGAACACATCTGGGATGTCATTGGCAGACGTGTATGTCAACATCAAAATCCACTGATGGGTGGAACAACATGAGTAAAGCTGACATTGGTCGACTCATCAGGAGCACGCCTCCAACATTTCATGCATGTCTGGCCAACAGAGATGGTTTTAATGCATTTTAGTGACATATTTTGAATTTGACCCCAGACCTCTTTAACGACTTGGTGCCACCATCCCTTTACACCAACCATCAGAACCCATTTAGATCAGATCGCGTACTCCCCAGAAGATATGATCATAGCATTTCCACTTGGGGTAGTTATCCTTGTGAACCATGGTGCTACCAAATTGGAGAATTTGAGACTCGTACCTCTGTGTGTTGACTGTGAAACAATGATACTTTAAGCAACACAGATGAATGGGTATATGAAGATATGAGTCCTGAAGGTGATTAACCAGTCTTCCATTCTGAGAGTGGTTCTTACCTTCATTACTGAACTTGGGCAGACAAACGAGGTAGTCTTTGTTGAGGAACTTTCAAGTCTATTATCATAGGCATGTCTGACATATTGTTTTTTAGCACTAGGAAGACAGGAATAAAACCCTGTCGGGATATCTGAGAACTTCAGTGCACAAATTGCTCCCTTGTCTAGAAGAGATAGTAGTTGATAATTGAGATCTATAATCAAAGTCAGGTCGATATAGTTTCATTGAACTTGTGCTGCTTTGACAGGCCTGCCTCCCCTTCTATGACTTTATTGATTTCAAGAGTAGAGAAGGGGTGAGACGATCTCTACTTTCATGAAGGGGATAGAAAAGAAACCCTTCTTAATGTAAAGTGTCTCCTCTGGAATGATCGCAATGTTGCCTTGACAACTTGTTGGTTGCTTATGTGCCTTTGTAGCAAGGTTGATGTTTGAAACCTGTAATCTTTCCGCTGTATCCTGTCAAACTTCTTCTACCACCTTGGAAGTTCCTGGTTGAAGAAGACCGGCGAAATGATGAGACAGACTTCTTGGTAGGCTCTTATATACATGTACAGTCCATTGCAAGGAGATGTTCCCCTGTGGTATCAGCATCATCCACATTTGGGCAGATAGAATATCTTGCATCTTCATAATGCTCTTCAAAGCACTGTGGACAAAGCTTACTTCACCAAATATCATATTAATGAGCATATCTCCTAGCATGTCATAGTTCTGATGAAGATGTTGTAAGAAGTGGCGCAATCCTGACGTAAACCAGTTGATGTATGAGCCAACCTCGATCATTTCTCTGTTAGCTACTCCCGTATCTTTAAACTTGGACACTTGATATTACAAGCTTGTAGTAATCATCATCATCAGTGGAAGGGAGCTCTGAGAGCAACGAGTGCATCTTGTTTGTGCACTTCTACATCAAATGTATCAGCAATTTGTCATCAAACTTAACCTGCTGATGCTCTCATTAGCCTGTTTAACGACCTGCTCTGTGTAGCTAGGCCACAGCAGAGTATGGTACTTGATGGAAGAAGGTGCTGTTTCTGCAAACTCTGGTCACTCAAGCCTGTGGGGTGACAGCTCTTCGTATTCACTGGGTCATGCCTGAAACTTGTCGATCGGAGCTGATTCTGCTTCGCAACTTCCCTTTGACAGCCAACTGGTAGGTTGAAAACCTTGGTCACATGGTAATGTTTTGTCTCTGCCTGTTGATTGGCATGCAAACAGCCTCTCTGCACAGTCAGCCAACAGCGATCAGTGAACATGAGTAGACGATGGATGACACTAGAGGGGGAGTGTCCTTGCTCCCACAATACGTTATGCCTCTAATCAACCAGGTTAGTACTATTTAGTAATGGTCTGTTAAGTTTAGAAAACATAATGAACTACAGTGTGATAACGCTACTGAAAACATGTGTGTCATAAAAGTTTTCAGTGTTGATCCCAGGACACACAGGAAGCTGCCTAGAAGCACTGGGGCACGGAGAGACTGTTTTCTTAACAAGTTAGAGGATAGCTGGCAGTGAAAAGGACATGTGTTGGAAATCGTACGATTTTATAGTGTGATGACAGACAAAGTACAGGATTAATGGCTATGATGTACTAGAAGTATTTGAAGGAATTATGCTATTTAAGGCTGATAATATTCATTAGATATAAACCTATCAAGGCATCAGGATATATATATACAAAACAACAGGTTTCATAGAACAGAATTCTGGTTCTTCATGATGTGGACAGGCATCGTCTTCTTAGAAAGCTTACCACCCTCCCTGAAACAGGATTAACATGTTTATTCATGGTAGAATGGAGACATGTATAAAACATATATTACACACATCGTTCATGACTTGAAAATGGCTGCATTTATTGTCAAACATTCAGGCCTATCTGATTTTGTTGAAAGTTTGGGGGTGGGTCCCTCATCATGCATGACCAGAATATACCAGAGCAAAGATATTTGTTGTGTCCACTAGTAAGCAATGGTAAAACTGTTAAGTTTTAAAAGTTATCTTCTTTATGTTTCTGAGGCACAAAGTTGGAGCTGGGTTCATTTCGGTGAACTTTTGCATTTCCCTGGCAACAAGGTCCAAAAAAGGGAAGGGTTTCCTTTAGAGCATAACTCTTAAAACATCAATTTTGTAATTGTTTAGCTGTTTTGATTCTTGGGGGATGATTTGTGATAGAAATATTCAGAAAAATATTACATATTGTAACATTAGTGTCAACCAACTTCTAAATGAAAAGTTGTACCTACTGAAAACTAGTAAAATCCTAAAAAAAATCTATATTTGTATACATCATGCATTTACTGCTTGTTCTTGACAGAGAAAAAGCTGCATGATTCAAAATTAGTAGTGTAATGGCACGGTGAATTCCTTACCTGCATGCCCCTATGGCACACTTAATTTATCGATGAAAGTGACTGACGAGTTTTTCTGTTGATAATTATGACTCGTATGTAAAAATAATGTTTAGAAATAGGTGCGAAAACAAATTGAATTTACTTTTTGGAAAATGATGATCAACACGATTTAACTCTTTCAACACTGTAGGCCGGTACACCGGCCAAGAAGCCTCGAGTCCTCAGACACCGCAGGCCAATAGACCAGCAAAGCTGTAGTCACGTCAAAATAGTATATAATTTTATGAACCTACCTGTCATATCAATCATTTATTAAATCTTATCACATTTCACAATGTCTAAAATACGTATTCCATTTCAATTTGTCATTATTTATCCATAAATTAAAAGAGTATTCACTAGATCTATTTTCCACAATGTTATTGAAAATAAAATTCTCGGACACTTCGTCAACGGGTCAACATCGAACATGTCAAAGAGCAAAATAAAGGCCTGTCAAGCAAATCTTGTAGCAGATTTCGCCCAGAAAGCATCATTAGGAATAATTTTTTTATCCAATAACATGGCATGTTACAAATAGACTCTAGGTGAGGTTACTATCGTGTAGATGATAAAATAAGCTTTCTGATGGTGTGTCACATGGCAGTCTTCGACGCACATGTTATTCATACGATGCTTCGAAAACAGAGGTATTTCTTCATGTTACTGAGTGGACAGACACTGTTATCAGGAAAATGATGACAGATATTATTCATAATTCTTTTTAAAATAATTTTCCGATTACGTAAACAATGAAAATAAAAAAAGACATAGGTCAAATTTTTGCTTCCTCGGTCCTTAATCTGGATGTTATGAATGTGTTAGGCTGAAAAAAAGAAGAATTGGTTTTCAGGCAATAGCTTTTTAAAAAATATCGTGCGGGTGAGCGGCTTTTTTCTGGGGGGGGGGGGGGGGGGGTTGTGTGTGTACAAACTATGAAAAATCCAAATCCGTATATCGCTGTGTTAAAGGCGATTTTTTCATAACTGAAATTAGGAGGCTTTCAAAGGGGGGTGGGGGTCGTCTTATACACAGGGTTGAAGGGTTATTTTTTTAATTTTTCTTTTCCCCAACACAAACACATTACTGTGAGCACGCAACACTAGAAATACCATGTCAGCAAATCCTTGCTGAAGTACGCAAATTAATCATGTAATTACACTGTCTGGTTGTAAAAAGAGTTCATAATATTTCTGGATTTATATTTGTAATCTATTTTATTAATTTATCCAAAATTTCATTCAATATTGTTTCGATTCATTTTAGCGAAATTGTATGTGAAGTGATCGGAAGATCACATAACTCACTGTTATTTACAGCAACCATGGCCATATTAGCGCTATTGGCGCCTTGAAATGAACTTTAGTGGATAGAGAATGGATATATATATCCTAAATGCCATACATTGAATCACTGAAAGTCATATTTGTCCCGCGGCGGCGGGAGCATTGATGGTGATGTGTCAAATTCTTCCATACCAAAAAATATTCGGCAATAGCGATCAGCTGTACCAATGTGCGACGCTTATGGTTGTTAATTTATTTCACATGTATATAGTAAAGCTACAACTTACATGATATTGGAATAAATTATTCCTGATAAAATAATAGTTCAGATACATTTCTTCCGCTCATTGGGTAAAAATTCTTTAAAGTTATTTTAGTGGGTAATTTTTTACCGAATCACCGGTAGATTCCGAGAAACATGTGTACAGCTGATTGCTTCTTCCGGCTTAGTTTGCGAGACAAGACACACGGTCATCCTAATCTAAACATATAAAACAAAGCCAATCAGAACAGGAAATACAATTTAATCGGTAAATCATCATGTCTAGTGATGTTTTATCTCAAATTTCATTTGTATTGGCCAAGTTTAATTAATTCAAAGACGTAGATATATATATATATTTATATTGTAGAAATGTCTTTGATTAATTGTTATAATCTGTTCATTTTTCTGAATTTGCTGAAGGGATACAATGTTATTTTTTCTGCAGAGGACAGACACGTTTTTATTGCAAATTTAGTGCTTTATTCCGATTCGCTTTACAGACAGGGTATATAAATTAGCATTTCCCACTTATTTTACGAGACAAATACACATGTAATTGTAAATCTTAACCATTGCGTATGAAACATTGTCCTGCATACAGTACCCAAATACTATTGAATTTGTAAATCATCATGTCTGGTGATGTTTTATTGGAAATTTCATGTTTTCATTGACCAAATTTGCAAACAGCAAAACAAGCACACAAACTTGAATTGCCGCCACGAACATAACACACGAGCTGCGCAGTAAAGCAGTGCGCATGGAAAGGGTTAAGGATTGTTTTGGTATTGAAAATGGAAATAAAAACAAAATGTGTGGCGTACTTTGTGATGATGCGGCTGTGCCTGAGAACCAACAATATTTATTTTTAGCCTTAGCTTATTTTTTTAATTTACAACAAACTTACTTAAGTTGTAAATGCATTATTTAAATAGTGTGAAAAGCATAACTTTTATATGTATAAACAGTAGGATTAGACCTTTCAAATGGTGTATAGCATGTAGTAGCAAAGATGTTTAACAAGCAGATAGGCTGAAATCCCAGAGGCTGTTAAAGTTGATGACTGTGGCTCAGTGCAAAGTTCCCTTAAAGGAAGATTATATGACCCAAAGGCAGCCATTGCCTATGGCATACAGGGGTGAAGAGGGCCAGGGCCCTATGGACCCAGAACAGCTACAACTGTAACAGATAAGTGCACAGCTACTACCAGTAGCTCATAAATCTTTGGACTATTATAATTGGTATTAACTAAGATTCAAAGATAATGAGTAACCAGAGTGATGTGTGTTTGAATTTTCTGATGTGATGGCACACTTAATTTGGCATAACTGTGCCCATTAGCACACTTGAAAGAAATTTAATTTCGAACCCTGAGCTATGTGAGTTCTTGTAGAAGAAGTTGTTCCAACTGGTTGTGTGGCTAACCCTATCACACAGCCTATATCACATTACTGGGTGGGCCACTTTAGACAAAGTAATGCAGGATAAGTATACAAATATAAAAAATATGTAGGATTTTAAAAGATGTTTTAACTTATCCTGCATTACTCCTTAATGCATCTTTATCTGACGGCACAGTGGAGGGCATACCTTCAGATGTAATCTTAAGCAAACTCTCCATAGACTCCAACCAATCAGTAACAGTGATGTCTGGCATCTAGTGACCATTCCTGTTTGCAGGTGTGCAGGTGTGCATGATGTCTTGGTATCATTGCAGTTATAGAAATTAAACCCAGTTAAAGTCTTAAACTGACGTACTGAGCCAATGCATGCAGTCTGGGGTGACACGCACCAGAGAGGTCAAAAGGTTGGCTCTGGACATGTAGAAGCATCAATGGCGTCTTGTGGCAGTGACCAGCTAAGCAACCACCAAAGGGCAAAAACTGTGGACTCCTTCCACGTCTTCTGGCACAACGTCTCGCAAGTAGTGACTGGCAAAGACTTTGTCTAAGCACCAGAAGCAGCCTTCCACAATTGTGTGGATGGAGCAATTACTGTGAAGCGCCATGGTAGAGGCGACCGCCTGAATCTAATGGGCGTTGTTGGCCCTCAGAGGATACAGTACAGCAGCCTCATAGGCCTGAAGAATGATGGCGCGAAGCCATAGGGCAATCCTGTTGCGACTGACTTCCACCTCTCATGTCGTAGATATCGCGATGAAAAGGCGGCGACGTTGGTTCCTGACTGACAACTGACAACCATTGGACCATTCGTTAAGGTATGTGTTCTTTTCTTTTACCCTTAAAATAAGTTTGACAACCAGTGCGGCACTATCGACATATATTCATATTCTCAGTGGACAGTGTTTTATGATTATGTAGGATGTGTTACTTGTTTCTGTGATGTAAGATTATTTATGAAGATGCAACTACTAATAGGTAGGCCAAATTACTCAACTTAACATGTTAGTCTGTTACCTGACAGCATGAGCAGTGTCATGAAAGCCGTGCCTTTGACAGTTTGAATAGACATTAAATTAGACAAGATTTTGAGGATGAAATTTGGAAAATCTACGCTTGGTATAATTATATAAACGTGAAATTTATTTTAGTAAATTGTATTTATTTACTTTTATAGTAATTATAGTACTTAATAAACCAGCCACTTAAAATCTAATATGCATCATATTTGTTCATATTTATTCCTTTAATTAAATAAATAATTTTACATCAAGAAACTTGTTAGTTATAAGTAGAAATATTTTTTACATTTTTTTTATGAAGGTGACAATTGGGTGTTATGCAATGTAGAAAGCATGTGCATAAATTGTTGTGTAATTAACAAAATTAGTTTGTATATTAAATGTGAAATTGCACT